GTATTCTAAAGAAGCTTCTGGGATGAGAACTGAAATGTTTTCAAGGAAAAAACAACAACCAAGAAAGTCCATTTGCCTTTTGAACACCTTTGGGACAACCATGATCTGGATGATTGAGAATCTTTGTGGACAGAGCTTTGGGGAGTCTACAGCACTGCTTTAGGCTTTATTCAGTTTCTCAGCTGTCAGCGTCAGCCTGGTCAACCACAAGCCCCACTGATGCCTCTGCTAATTAATTAACATAAGTTATTGCCAAGTCCCATCCCTGGGGAGGATGTCCTTTTAGGAAGAAATTTTCTGATTAATTATAACATATAAGGAAAGGTTGCTGGAATTGGGTATGTCTAATTTAACGAAGAGGAGGGGGGACATGATAGCAGTGTTCCAATATCTCAGGGGCTGCCAAAAAGAAGAGGGAGTCAAGCTATTCTCCAAAGCGCCTGAAGGCAGGACAAGAAGCAATGGATGGAAACTAATCAAGGACAGAAACAACCTAGAACTAAGGAGAAACTTCCTCACAGTTAGTACAATTAACCAGTGGAACAACCTGCCTCCAGAAGCAGTGAATGCTCCAACACTAGACATTTTTAAGAAGAGACTGGATAGCCATTTGTCCGAAATAGTGTAGGGTTTCCTGCCTGAGCAGGGGGTTGGACTCGATGACCTCCAAGGTCCCTTCCAACTTTATTATTATTATTATATTATACTCTGGTCATTTTCCAGTGATCACATGCAACAAAGTTGTTATACTATTGTCCCAAGGATGCTTTTTCAAGAGGCAACTGGACTTTCTTGTTTTTCTTTGAAGATGTTTCGCTTCTCATCCAAGAAGCTTGTTCAGCTCTGAACACTTCAGCCTCAGAGCTGAAGAAGCTTTTTGGATGAGAAGCAAAACGTCTTCAAAGAAAAACAAGAAAGTTCAATTACCCGTATTTATCGGCGTATAACACGCACAGGCGTATAACACGCACCTTCATTTTAAGAGGGAAATTTCAGGAAAAAAACTTAAAGGTGGGGCTGGGCGGCGGAGCGCTTATATCGGCGTATAACACGCACACATCATTTGCCCCCTATTTTCAGGGGGAAAAAGTGCGTGTTATACGCCAATAAATACGGTATTTCTTGAAAAAGCACCTTTGGGACAACCATGACCTGGATGACTGAGAATCTCCATAGACACTTGTTATACTATCCCATAGGGAAAGTGAGTGGTCATTCTTACTTTTGCCCACAAGAGATCAAATGTTGCAAATGCACATATTTTTTCAGCTTAACATCTCACGACGTCTGAGGAGAGGGAGGCAAGCTAGTTGACCAATATGCCAGTCTTTTGGATCAGAAAACCTAGTGGTTAGAGACAGCAAAGAAAATTGCCTTTTAAGGACAATTGATGATCATATTTCAGTGCCATGCCAACAACAATAACTTAGAAAAGGATTTTAAAGTGTTTCTTTTTAAATTGAGTCTGAGCATTTTTTATTTATTTATTTATTTACTTTATTCATTTATATCCCACCTTTATTATTTTTACAAATAACACACAACACTCCTTCCTCCTCCTATTTTTCCCACAACAACAACTCTGTGAAGTAGAATGGATTGAGAGGGGCTGACCCAAAATCACCCAGCTGGCTTTCATAGCTAAGGTGAGACTTGAACTCATAGTCTCCTGATTTCTAGCCTGTGCTTTAAAAACACTAGATCAAACTGGTTCTCTTTTTTGATTGGCTTAGTGCAACTTTGAATAACTTATCTCTGGGCAATTTGCAGATGGCTCTCCACTTCTTCTTCTTCTTCTTTTTTTGCATTTCTGCTATCTCTGCATTAAAAGATTTAGCAGGAATGGTTGTTTTAAAAATCATTGCGGTGAAGCTCTTGAAACTATTCATCTAAACCAATCCTAGGTTAATAACTTCTAAGGGAACTATGATGCCTGCTGTTTTTCACCTTCATGCAAAATTGAGCACATACATATGTTTTGATGCTTCCCTAGTATAGCCTAAGAATAAAACTTTTTAAGATAAAATCTTGAAGACGTTGGAATTACAAATTCTTTGAATCTTGAAATTCCAGTTAAGATTGATTCATTCATATTGGCCTATTGACATTTTTCAGTTTGAACATTCTTGAGGATATTACCAAAGATAAAATGAACATTTGGAGGACTGTGGCCTATTTTTTTTTTTTTTAAGAACTGGATTCATCAGATAGCAATAGCACTTAGACTTCCTAGTGCTTTACAGTTCTCTCTGAGATCCTTGTCTAATGAATCCAGGTTAGTGATGTCTGACAGAACTTGGGTTATAATATGAATTTTGGAAGAGGTTATTATATCATTAAGGATGGGATAGTTTTAACAGACTTTTTTCCTTGAAGAATCCATCAGTGAATTACCACTCATGTTCAAATATATTATTTCTGCATAAAACCATGGACTGAATAGTGTCATCTGAATGGCAGAGTCATAAAGTCAAACCATCAAAAACAGCCTTTTCTCCCATATCCACAAAACTGATTATTTTTCAATCAACAGACACATAACAAAGACCTGATTTATTGATACTAAATAAATAAATGTTAGAACTGAACTTTAACAGTCTTTAAAGAACAAATCCAAATTTTAAATTGGGCCTGGAAACCAAATGACAACCAATATAGCAGCAACAATAGCTCGCCTTATCCTAGGCCAGTATTTCTCAACCTTAGCAACTCTAAGAAGTGTGGATTTCAATGTGTGGACTTCAGTGTTGGCTAGGGAATTCTGAGAATTGAAGTTCACACATCTTAGAGTTGCCAAGGTTGAGAAACACTGTCCTAGACCTTAGCCAGTTGCCCTTTGCACTTCATTCATGGCAGCTCAACATAAAGAATTTTCAGTATTCTAGTCTTCTTTAATTGAGAGTATGTTTGCTGTAGAGATTTAAGGCATCATGCTAGAAACTGAGCATGCTGGGTGATTCTGTGCCAACCCAAGGAAGAAGGCAATAGCAAACCACTTCAAAAAGCTTGCCGTGAAAAAAGTCTTGATTTCTCTAAAACAGTGTGTCTCAACCTTGGTAACTCTAAGAAGTGTGGGCTTCAATTTCCAAAATTCCTCAGCCAGCACCTCTGGGAACTGAAGTGGACACATCTTAGCATTTCCAAGGTTGAGAAGCACTGCTCTAGAAAACAGACAACTAGCGAAAGAGGTTTAAGGCAGGTCTGCATCATTGGAAGAGTTTAACCTGGCCAAAGTGCTCTGAGCTTTCCCAGTTTACTCAGAAAGGAGACTACTGGAGCTTTTTATGAGTGTTCACTGAAATGTGTGACTATCTGAAACTGGGAAGAGTTATAAAGTTAAAGCTCTAAATCTGGGGATGTTACATCTTCTGTATGCATGTCCAATAGGAAATATGAAGAGAGTTCCATTTATTTTCATATACATGTAAGTAGTACTCTTGGACACAATTTTGATCCCTGATAATGTCTGAATAGAGTTCCTAAGAACTCCATAAAGCATATGGTAACTTTCAGAGAAAGTACAAACTTATCTACAACTGCAAATCCACCCACAGCAGTTGACTCTTTAACTATAACATCTCTGTCTTATCTGGGTCCAGATTTAGCTCATATGTTCCTTTCTTACCCCAGAATTACCTATAGCTCATTTTTATGTATTCCAATTAGCAACAAGCAGAGACAGACCTTTCCTAGCTTTTAAAAAAAGGAAGCTACTGGAACTGGAATATTCTACGTGCAAAGCATGTGTCCTGCCTCTGATCTATGCCCTCCCTGCTCTAGATTGGGGAGGCATCTGGCTGGCCACTGCTGGAAGCAAAATACTGGACAAGATCGATTGCTGCTTAATTAATCAATGCTATTATTCTGACCTTATGAGATGCAATGGAAAACAAAAGGAAACACCCCTCCCTCTTTTGAGAAGAGAGCAAGGACACACAAATCCTATCTGCATAGACCAATGGTCTCTTTCTCTCAGTCTCTGTCTGTCTGTCTGTCTGAATATCTCTCTCTCCCCCCCCCCCCC